TCCCTCACCTTCGAAGAAGCGCTGCAGCGCCTCGGTCTCGTCCACCACCTCCATGTCCGGCCTGCCCGGCGCGCTCTCCGCCGCGGCCCCGCTACAGCCCGGCCCGGGGGCGCGGCATCGCCGGCGCGGCCCGCGCGACAGTCCCGGCTCGGCTCCGGCTGCGGTCCCGCCCGGCCCGCCGCCGCCGCCGCCGCCGCCGCGCTCGCCCCGCGCGCGGCCCTAGCCCGGCCCCTGCCCGCCCCCCGCGCCCCGCCCGCCGCGCCCAGCGCCCCCTGCCGGCCAGGCCCGCGCTGCAGCTCCGGAGCGAGCCCGACGCCTCCTCCTCCGGGGCGCCATCCCGGCGCGCGGCGTCCTTCCATGCTTGGGGGGCGCGGAAGCGGGGAAGGGAGTATGTGCATGCGGGCCGGACAGGGGCGCGGGGATGCGGGGTGGTGGGGGCCGCGGTCACGCCCTGCCCCATCTTCCTCGCCCTCCCCTTGGCCAGGGGAGGATAGCAGGATTCTGAATCTTAGTCTCAGACCAAACCTCAGAAGACACCCCCATTTCCTCCCCTTGCCCACCCCCATCCCAGCAAGAATACTAACCCACGTCCGGTGGACCCCGTGTCACACTCGCGCTCAGGACTTCACAGGTGTTACCTCGTTTAACTGTCTCAGTTACCCCACCAGGAAGATGCTCTTATGTGCCTTTTCCAGAAGAGGAAGCTGAGCCCCATTGACTTTCAGGCCCTGTATAACTCTCTTGATGACGGGAATGTTCTCTGGGCTGTCCAGTGTGGTAGCCACTGGCCACATGGGCTATAGAGGACTTGGAATGTGGTTAATGAGGCTGAGGAACCGACTTTTCCATTTTCTTTAATTTCAAGTAGTTCCGATTGAGATAGCCACTTGTGGCTCCGTCGTCGGACAGCACAGATCTGAAGATCTCAGGGTACTTGGGGTCAAAGGCAGCATTCAGAGCCGGGTCCTGGTTGACCTGGAACTCTGGGCTCCCGGCCACTATTTCCCTGTGTGGTGGTGTGAGGCCCGAAGGTTCTACCTCCTAGAGTGTCCTGAATAAACCAACCATCCTGTCCCTCGGTCTCCACTTCAGGAGCACCCACTCGTCTCTGTTCTGCCCAACCACACTGCCTCTCTCATCAGTGATGGGCTCCAGAAGCTCCCAGACCACTCTTTTGAAAATGTCAATCAGGGGTGCCTGGGTGGCTCAGTCCTTAAGTGTTCGGCTTCGGCTCAGGTCATGATCTCACAGTTTGTGGATTCGAGCCCCACGTCCGGCTCTGTGCTGCCAGCTCAGAGCCTGGAGCCTGCTTCAGATCCTGTGTCTCCCTCTCTCTCTGACCCTCCCCTGCTCACGCTGTCTCTCTCTCTCAGAAATAAATAAAACATTAAAAAAAAAAAAAAGAAAATGTCAATCAGATCATGCTGTCCCTTTGCTAAAATCAATAGCTTCTCCTTGTGTGCAAAACAACATCTAAACCTCTTGCCCTGGTTCTTGAGGCCTTGTATGATCTGCCCCAGCCTATACCACTGGCCTCAGCTCCTCCTTTCCTCTCCATCGCACCTGAGTCACAGCCACGAAGGCCTCCCTGCCATCACTCGAACATGCCAGGCACACATCTGCCATCCGTGCTGTTCCCTCTGTCCACAATGCTTGTCCCCACGTGACTAGTTCCTACTCAGGAGTCAGGTCTTGGTGCAGTCCTCACCTCTCTGACCACCCTACCCAAAGCAGTTGCCCCCTACCTCGCTTTCTTCCTCACCACGTAAAAGATTCTTATTTAGTTTTTGTGACTACCCTCCTTGCTGTAGATCGGAAGCTCTGTGAGGGTAAGAGATTTTTCTGGCTCGGTCACCACTGTGGCTTCAACACCAAGAACACTACCTGGGATGCAGTGCGTGCTGGGTAAATACACACAGAATGAATGTAGGACGATGGCATCACGCAGAGCACCTCTGACACTTTGGGAGCAGAGGATTCTGGAATTTCAGACCCAGCAAATCATCCAGCCTCATGGGATCCTCAGATCCAGCGAGTCAGAGCTGGAAAGCTGATCCCACCTGACCACTGGTTGACAGACAGAGGGACTGAAACCAGGACCCGGGGGGCGGGTAGGAGGATGGCCAGCAGCTCGAGATGCCAGCCCAGACAGCCGGGAATGCGCCACACTACCCGCCGGTGGTCCCCCAGACGAGCGTGGGGGACGCGAGCCGGGCGGCTCAGTGGGCATGGGGGTGAGAGCCTGCAAAGCTGCCAGCCGTGGGGGAGGGGCAGCCGGGGCCTGAGCCCCAGATGTGGCCCAGTCAGCAGGCCCGCGGTGGCCCACCGAGGAGGGTCAATGCCACGACAGTTCTGGGGCTGGGGGAGGGGGCGCCCAGGCCGGCGGGCACCTCACAATGAGGTTTTGTCCCTCCGGGGGCCGCTCTCCCAAGCTGCTGCTCTTAGATATATAGAATGGGATTTTGCTGGCGGCCCCAGCTGTGTGTGCTGACCGGTACTCCCCCCGCAGGGGCCGGGCTGGGAAGGGGGGAGAGGGCCACACTGAGCCGCCTATTCTTTTCCAGCTGATACACCCCAGAGGTTTTTCTCCCTCTGCAGCCTCCCTTAAGACAATTGTTATTCTCTGCTCTGCCCCCTCCCCCACCCGGTTAGGCCCGCCTGCCGGACAAAGTAGACACCCGCCCACGCCATGTGATTTTTTAAAATGAATTTATTTTAGGAGTTGCCCGGGACCAGCTGGAAAGCTAGCTCCTCTATAAGCCTCCACCTGCCCACAGGTCCTTCCACCATATTCCACTAGGTGCTGAAATGTCCACCATGGGAGGGCCGTCGCGATGAGCAAAGCATGGTCCTTGTATGGGTCCTCAAAGGAGTGGAGTGTGCATGTTTTGTCCCCCACACCCAAACTCCTCGGGTTGGATTATCAAGCCTGTGGGGTAGCCTTGAGGCTGCATGGGGTGAGGCTGGCCTGGCTAAGAGGGTTCTGGCCCTATCATCTCCCCTGATTCCACCAGGCCACTGAGCAGAGCAGCTGTCATAGTGGTTCCCACCTCTGGGCTGGGGAGAGGGGTGGATTAAGTCCCAGACTCCAGGGCTCAGCCGGAAGTCGATGCTGCAGCCCCCAAACTCCATAGTGAAGGCGGGGCTCAAGCCTGGCTGGGGTCGGGCGGTGGCTAGAGCTGGTGAGGGAGCCCAAGGGAACCTGGCATAACCGGGGCTTTGAGGGAGCCATCCATAGAGAGGAGTCCCGTCTGCACCCCTCCCTCTCGCCCCGTCCCCACCAAGCCATAACGAGTGAGCAACCAAGACTTCATCCCTGGCCCAGCAGATGCAGCTGCTCCCTGCGGCCACGTGAACCATCCTCCAAGGCCTGCCCTCTGGTCCGTGGAGGACTCATCTGTAAATCAGCCTATTATCCCCGCCTCGCAGCGTGGAGGTGAAATGCCAGGGAAGTGATCAATAAATGGTGCCTTCCTCCACTCCAGCTCAGTTCCCCGGCTCTGTGCCAGCCCTTGAGTGGCAGCTGGGCCAGCAGGAGGCAGCACTGGGGAGAGAGAGCCACAGATTTGAGGGTTACTGGAGTAACAGAGTAACGGGGCCCCGAGGCCAGCCCAGGAGACAGTGGGGCTCATCAGCTAGCCAGATGGCCATCGCCCCCGTGGGCTCATACAGCCCTGGCATCTTCCCATTTTACAGAGGAAGAGAGGGAAGGCCCAAGGGGTGGTAAGTGGGAAGGTAGTGCTGGTGAGGCCGGGGGTGAGGGAGGTCAGGAGAGCCCTGCAAGACGCCTGTCCCCCACCTCCCTCCCAGCTGAGACAGAAGGGGCTGACCACAGAGCCTGAGTGGGGATGGGAGGGGGATAGTGCCGCCCCAGCCCTTCTCCATTCCATCCTCTGTGTGACCTTGGGCAAGTCACAGAACCTCTCTGGCCCTCTGTTTCTTCTGCTTCTGCCCCGCTAATTGGATAGGATCATTTGCAAACTCAGACTGTACCGTGGGAAGAGCCTCTGAAAACCACAGAGTGAGGGTGGAGGCCAGAGTCATCAGCCAGGAGGCCTGGATTCTCGTCCTAGATCTGTCCCCACAGCCTGAGTCACCTTAAGTAGGACTTTGCCCTTATCAAGCCTCAGTTTCCTCTTCTGTTCGAAGAGGCTGGGGGTTGGAAGACATGCACTGTTCCGTCACCTTCCCCAAAACTTCACCAAGTAGGGTCACTCTGGACTCCTGGGGGAGAAGGTGGGCAGTGTGGGGAAGGGGAAGGTCAAGGTCAGGTGGGAGCTTGCCTGGGTCAGTGCCTGGGCCCCACTGTGCCGTCACCCTGCAACTGGCTGGAGGAACAGCGCCACCTGCTGTGTGGAAGAGGCAGGCCAGGCCTGGTCCGGCAGGAGGCCCCACTAAGTGCCTGCTCACCAGGGCCCTGCAGCCGCTCCTCAGGCCTCACTGTCCTGGAGCCAGGATAGGCTGGGGTCCCTGGGGTGCCCTGAGTGGGCCTGGCTAGGTGTCATGCACCCTCCTAAGGAAGCACTCAGCAAAGATTTCCAGTGGCCCTTGCATCTCAGAGCTACCCTGCTGGGGGGTAGGTGGGGGTGAGTGGCATTCTTCTCTCTCTGCTCTAGTTCTCAGTATTGGCAGGAAAGGGTGGGAACCGTCAGAGCAGCCTGGTACCCCACATGCTCGCTCTGTGGTCTCAGGCAGCTTACTTGCCCTCTCTGAGCCCCAGACCCCTCAGGGAAGAGAAAGGGACTGCCAGGTCCCATCTTTCAAGGCCTTCATGAGGTCATGAACACGGATCCCCGGGTAAGTCTTTCACATGGGTAGGGCTGCTGCCATTCATGTGGGGCTTTGAGGGGCTTCTGGTCCCTCAGAGTGTGGTCCTAGGCCAGGGCATCGAAGGCCAGTCTCGGAGGCCCCCTCCCACCCCTGTCCTCAGCAACAAGCCCCCCCTCCGCCTCTGCCCCGTCCCCACCTGCTGGGAAGACAGGTCACTCAAGGCAGCCAAGGTGCGTCTACATCCAGTTTATACACAGCTCTATACAATATACAGAAACCTTTATATACAGATATATTTATAGAATAAGCTATATTAATTTGTCTCTCCTTTTTACAGCAATATTAGTTTGGATCTTTCATACAGTAAGTACAAAAAGTCAGGGGAGAATGGCACGCACAGTGCCTGAGAGTCTGTGGGACCCAGCTGCTCCCTACCGATTGCATATGGAGGTCACCCAGGCCCCCGGGAGGGCAGGCCAGCTCGCGGCTGGGAAAGCTTTGTGCTGCGGTCTGGGGGACAGAGTGGGGGAGGGTCTGAGCCTAGCTGGGCTGAGGGGGGTGGCTCAGACCCCCCAAGGGCGGTGTAGGGAGGAGGGGAGAGATGTGCAGCAGGCCCATCCTGCAGGGGTGCAGTGTGGGGGGGTGAGTTCAGGGGGTGGGGGGCTGACCCTGGGGCATCCAGGGCTGAGTCCAAGCCTGCCCCAGCCCCAAGTCTGCAAGCTTTGTGTGGCTGCGGGCTTGGGGGTGGGGGGTCTGTCCCTGATGGCTCAGTCCTGGGCGTGGGTGGGGACCACACCCCCTTAGAGGTCCCAGGGCCACCCTGGCAGAGGAGGAATTAAAAGGCCAGACACCAAGTCTCTCCCTGCAATTGGCTGAGGTGTTTGTTGGAACTTTACTCTGATTTAGGATTTGTTTTCGTTTTTGTTTTTTTAAACTCTAAGAGCTACTGATTCCATCCTGTGTCTGCGCTGGGCCCAGGCTATGCCAGCAGCGGGGCCCGCAGCAGTCGGGGGTAGGGGGTGGCGGTTCCTGGAGTCTTGGGAGGGGGTGGGTGCCAGAGAGGGAGGGAGGCCCAGCTCCCAGGTCTCTGTCTCCAGCCGTCAGGGTGGGCGGGGGCCCCGGGGCAGTGTCCAGGCCAGTCCCAGCTGTGTGTGGGACCGAGGTCAGGACGCAGGCCCTAGATACCAGTAACTATGAGATGAGGGTGGGAGGGGGGGGTCTTGGTGAGAGGAGTCCAGCAGCCCCAGAGAGGCCGTGGGGGGCCAGAGTGGGGGAGTATGCCTCCGAAGAGATGAAGGCACAAGCAGGCGGTCAGCGCCTGGACACATCAGTTTTCCAAACCCGCGATCAGAGCAGCAGGTAGGACATTTCTGAAACTGAGCTCATCCTGTCCCCCCCCACCCCTGCACGGGCCCCCATCACAGTCACCGGCTCTGTTCTTGGTGGGCTGGGAAGGTGGCAGGGCAGGTGGGAGGGGGCGGGTGTCCCAGCGGCCCCTTCCTCGGGAGCAGCGCACACTCATGCACACACGCGCCGCGCCAGCACGCACCTTCCCTACTCGGCTTCTGGGGAGAGGTTGGCCTCCGCCTCCCCAACCCAGCAGGGAAGGAACCCCTCAGGAGCGGGCTGGCGAGGCCTCCGGCTAACCTGGGACAGCCCCAAAGCCCCTGGCCCTGCTGCACCCCCTTTAGTCGGGTCCCACGATACCCTGCTCTTGGCTCTGCGTCTTGCCGACAGGACATTGATGGGGGGGGCAGGGTAGGGAAGAAGCCAGCCCCGCTGCCAGGAAGGATCTCAGGCCAGTGAAGAGGGAGGGGGTGCTGAGGGGAGTGGAGGCAGGTCTGGTTTCAGATCCCAGGCCCCGAGGCTGCCTACGCGTGGGGGTGAGGTGGCATCAAGGGGTTACAAGGAGTCCTCAAAGGAAGGGGGATTTGGGTGCCCTCCTCCTTCCCAGGGTGCTGACTCTGCAGCCAGGGTGGGGGTCACACCTGTGCCCTCCACCCTTTGAGTGGCCAGGATCCCTGGGGGTAGAAGGTAAGTCAGGAAATGATGGGTAGACAGGAGGACAGGGTGCCCAGGACCCACTGCCAGAGGGATCAGCAAGGGGGGCACCGAGGAGAGAAGGGGCATCTTGATCCCACCCTCCTCCGGGCCCCTGCAGGCTCCACAGCTGCCCTGGGCTCTGTGGAGACTGGCCTTCCTCCCTTCCCTGCTCAGAACACACGACGGGGGAGAGGGGGGCTTGCAAGCCCAGGACGCATCCTGAGCCCAGCCCAGGGGCTTCTGTAAACATACCCAGCGCTGTGGGCCACCTTGGTGTGGGGTCACCCCAGGGGGCTGGCCAGCAGGCACCGGATCTGGGGGCGTGGCCAGGGTAGATGCCAGCCTGGACCACAGAGGGGAATACGTGGGGAGAGGGCTGCTCTCCATCTGGGCCCTGGGGGAGCAGCCAGAGGGCAGTGATGGGGAGTCAGCATGCCCACTGCCGGTCCTGGAAGAGGGGGTGCCGGGATGCCCTGTGGGGGGACAGGTGGGGCCGAGAGGGCAGAGCACTGCCCCAGGCTCCCCGCCCCTGCATCTCACCCCTCCCCGGTCTGGAGGACCCAGATCCCAGCCGCCTGGCGGTCCTAAGCTGAGGTAGGGATGCGGACCCCCAGCTCAGCAGCAGTGCCCCGGGCCTGAGGCGCAACTGGCCCCTGGGGGCGTCTCCTCAAAGCGGCCTGGCCCTGGGGGGCAGCCACCAGGAGCCGGAGGGGCCACCTACCCTGGCCTGGGCCTCGGCCGGCAGCCATGCCTGGGGTGCTAGCGAGCCGAGATGACCAGGTCGTCCTGCTTGGCGGGGCTGGCCCCAGGGCCAGTGGGGGTCGAAGTCCGGATCTTGTCCACTGCCAGGCACTCCTGGCTGCTGAGCCCCGTGGGCGTCAGGTCCATGAGCTCCCCAGAGGAGCTGAGCGGGAAGGAGGGCGACAGCGAGATGCCCGAGGACGGGTCTGCCGAGCCGGCAAAGAGCCTCGGGGGTTTGGGCACCAGGTTGGGCTCGAACTGGGCGCGGAGCAGGATCTCCTGCTGGCTGGGGGACTTGGGGCCCTCGGCGTAGTCGCTGGTGGGACTCTCGGGCACCACCATGCAGTACAGGTCCTGGAAGGAGCTGCTCTTACTGTCCAGGTTGAAGAGGCTGTCGATGAACTCCGCGAACTCCAGCACCTGAGGGCTGGGCGAGTCCCCCAGGCGCCCGTTGTGCAGCGCCAGCTCTGCCCCCGGGGCCGCCCCGCCTCCGCCGCCGCCGCCCCCCTCCTCTTCCTCCTCCTCGTTGGCCGCCGCGCTGGGGGGCCGCTCCGGGGTGACGCCCCCGCTGCCCAGGGCCGCCTCCAGGGGCTGCGTGTCCTGCGAGTGCTTGGACAGGCTGTCGGCCGCCAGCAGCTCGGTGCGCGAGCTCAGCGACGGGTTCTCCTCCGGGATGGCGGGGTCGATGTAGAAGAGGTGGCCTTCGTCGCGCTCCAGCACGGCATGGAGACTGGGGGAGCCGCGGATGCTGCGGAAGCCCGACGAGCGGCGGGAGTCGAAGCTGTACAGCGACTCCGTGTCCGAGAGGCTCTCCATGGTGGCCAGCGGCGCCCGCCGCGCCTGCAGCTCCGCCGCCAGCCGCTCCTGCGTGGACAGCAGCAGCAGCTCCACGGGGTCCTGGCGGGCGGCTGTGGCCGCAGCCACCGGGGACAGCAGCCGCCCCTCCGAGAAGCCCTCCAGGCTCATCTCAGACTGGGACTTGCTCCTACGAAGGGGAGGGCGGGGCGGGGCATGAGACTCAGGAAGGGCAGAGACTCCTCCCACTCGTTCCGGGATGGGGGGGCGGGAGGGAACTTGGGGAGGGGAGGAGGGGAAAGTTAATTTAGAGGTTATTGAACAGGGTGGGGTAGGACCCTTATTATTTTTAATTTATTTAAAAAAATTTTTTATTTACTTCTTAAAAGGGCTTTTTTTTTTTAATGTTTTATTTCTAGGAGAGAGAGAGAGACAGCGTGAGCAGGGGAGGGTCAGAGAGAGAGGGAGTCACAGACTCTGAAACAGGCTCCAGGCTCTGAGCTGGCAGTCAGCACAGAGCCCGACGCGGGGCTCGAACTCACGAACCGCGAGATCATGACCTAAGCGAAAGTCGGACGCTTAACCGACTAAGCCACCCAGGTGCCCCAAAAGGGCTTTTTAAAAGTTTATTTGAGAGAGAGAGAGAGAGCGAGAGAGAGCACAAGGAGGCGAGGGGCAGAGAGGAGAGACAGAATCCCAAGCACAGAGCCCCATGTGGGGCTTAAGCTGACGAACTGTGAGATCATGACCTGAGATCACATGACCTGAGCCCAGATCAAGAGTCAGAGGCTTAACCTAGTGAGCCACCCAGGCACCCCAGGGACCCTTAGTTAGTTATTTATGCTTATTTATTTTGAGAGAGAGAGAGTGAGAGAGCAAGCAGGGGCAGGGCAGAGAGAGAGAGGAGAGGAGACAGAGGATCCGAAGCAGGCTCCACACTGTCAGCTCAGAGCCTGACGTGGGACTTGAACTCACAAACTGTGAGATCATGCCCTGAGCTGAAATCAAGAGTGGGAGGCTTAACCCACTGAACCACCCAGACGCTCCAGGGACCTTTATTTTTAAAAAAACAATTCATGAGAACCCAAGCCAGAAGGCAGCAGGGCTGGTGCTGGGGGCGGTGAGCCCTGAAGGCCTAAGACCCTGCTGGGAGCCCCGCGGCTGGGAGCACTGCAGCTGGGAGCCCCGCGGCCGGGAGCACTGCAGCTGGGAGCACTGCGGCTGGGAGCCCCGCGGCCGGGAGCACTGCAGCTGGGAGCACTGCGGCTGGGAGCACCGAAGCTGGGAGCACCGAAGCTGGGAGCCCCGCGGCCGGGAGCACTGCGGCCGGGAGCACTGCGGCTGGGAGCCCTGCGGCCGGGAGCCCTGCGGCTGGGAGCACTGCAGCTAGGAGCATTGCCGGGGCACCTTGCACCTGCGGGTAGCCTGAGGCTCCGAGAGACTGGCTGCCCCAGGTCACTGATGAGGCAATGGTGGGAGTGGGGAGAGGGAAGGGGGGAGGGGTAACAGGAAAGAGCACTGCCCAGAGCTGCCCCCACCCGTTCTCAGACCCTCAGCACCGCTGGCAACACCCCTCTCCACCGCACCCCCATCTCCCCCCACCTCTCCCAGGGCTGAGATCACTTCCTTCCTCACACTGGGGTTCCTCCAGCCTCTGCCATGGTTTGGACCCCTCTGCTAAAAGGACCGGGAAGTGGGGGGGATGCAGCCTCTGCTGTGAGGGGACACTGGCTCCCTCATGTGGTCAAGTAACTGCCCCAGGACATGCATAAATGGGAGCGCGAGATGTCCAGGTGTCCCCACTAAGAGCCGGGAAGCAGCGACCACCATTCTGAGCAGCCTCCTGGCCAAATCGGCTACCTGGGCAGGAAGGGCCCCAGAGAGGAAGGAGGATTCCCACCCGCCAGGAGTCACTCCTTGTAAGAGTGTGTGTGAATGTGGCACACGTGTGTGTGTGGGCCTGGAAGCATGCGTGTGCGGCTCCGTGTTGCTTGTACAGTGCGCACACCAAGCATCCTACGTCAGCTGGCCCAGACGCGTCTGTGTGGTTCAGTCTGGGCGCAGGCACAGACGCGTGCATGCGTTCACGGGCACGCCTGCCCTCCTGGTGTGTCCTTCTGTTTGTGTCTTGGCCTCCGGGCTGTGTGTCCTATATATGAGTGCGTCTGCAGGGGGCTCTCCGTGCCCTCAGAGCTGTCTGTGAACACGTGTATGCACGCGTCCGCTTCAACACAAGTACATATGTGTGTATGTGTGTAAGTGCGCAGATGTCCGTCTGTTTGGGCCTAGATGGCTACGAGTGATCTGGGTGCTTGTGGCTGCGTGGGGTCCCAGTACGTGCACAGAACATGCCTGCGCACAAACCTTCCTGCCCTGTGATAAGCCGTGGCGCCCACACACAGCCCCGGGGACAGGCGGGGACGGGGCGGGGGGCGCGGGGCTCACCTGACACTATTGTTTCGGTGGTCTGCGGCTGGCAGCTCTAGGGCGAGGCCGGCGGGCACGGGGGGCCCTGTGGGCAGCGGCTGCTGCTGGAAGATCAGCTCGGGGGTCAGGTCCACCTCTGTGGGGCTCACCATGACCTTAGCAGCAGAGAGCAGGGCCGTCTTCCCCTTGTTGTAGTTCTCCAGCACCTGGGGACAGGTGGGGCAGGCTGGTGGTGGCAGCGGTGGTGGAGGGTGACAATCACGTGGGAGGGAGGGGGCAGCAGGCCAGAGCCTGCTGGGGTGAGCCGGCCCCACTCCTGTCTCCCTGCCCCAGGTCCCTGCTCTGCCAGGAAGGCCTGCCCCACACATGGGCCAGGCTAGGGTTCTCCTTCTCTCTGGCCAGTCTTTCCGTGTGTGGCTGCGCACCTGTCGAGTGCCAGGTGGCCTTCAGGCCCTCTAAGGCCAGCCAGCCTTGGGGCCAGGCCCCTGGGAGCCTCCTAAGCTCCCCACTACAGGGCCACATGGTGACCTAGCTTCTCTGAGAGTCCGCATCCTCACTTGGGCCATGGGCACAGAGACGGGCTGGCAAAGCGCTGTGAGATGCGAGCTGTCCCGGCCCCAGGCCGCGTGGGTGCTCACCTTGTTAAGCCCCTCCATGACCACATAGGGGAGGTGCTCGTGCAGCATGGCTGGCGAGATGATCACCTCGTTGAAGGCTTTGTTGTCGCCCCAGATGGCAAAGTACGTGGGCTCCTCCTGCTCACAGCAGCTGGGGACACAGGCGCCAGAGGGAAGCTGAGTGGGCAGCGACATGCTGGCTGAGGCCCCCCAGGTCCCCAGGCTCCCTGCTCCTGCCTCACCCTGAGCCCCGACCCCAGCCCCCACCCCAGCCAGGGATGTTAATGCCAAATGGGCCTCAGCCGCTGTCCCTACAAAGCCTACAACCTGCTCATGGCCTGGGCCACAGCTGCCCCATCGTGGGCTCATGGCCTGGGCCATAGCCGCCCCATCATGGGCAGGGCCCGGCCCTTGAGCCTTTTGTCGCTGGGAAGGAGGATCTGCAAGAGCGAGAAGTGGGGAGGGGGGTCTGTGCACAGCTTGCCCACCTTCTCTCTCTCACTCCACCCCCCACCCCGCCCCTGTCACAACCGCTGCCATCTAATCCCGGAGAGGGAAGAGCTGCTGGGACGGTCAAGGGAGGAGCCTGGAGTCCTGCTCTGGACTGGTCTTTCCTTCTACCTCCAGAGCCCCAGGAGAGGGCCACCCCCACCAGGAGGGTCTGGGGGCCAGTGTCTCCCAGCCCCTGCCCACCCCATCCTGTCCCGTCCCAAGGGGTGACTAAGCGAGGCCAGCCCGGCCCCCCACTCCCAGCTGCCCCAGGGTCACGGGCAGCCCCCTACCAGCACTGCTCTGCTGGGTGGTTGTGGACCACGTGGATGATGCGGCCGGGTGGGTAGAGGGGGGTGCTGGCCGACAGGGCGATGGTCAGGTCGCTGGGGTGGGTCCAGAGCCGTGTGCTGGCCAGTGTGGCCACCTCCACCTCCTCAGGCAGCTCCGACTTGGGGATACACTTGGTGGCCCCCACGATAATTCGCCACTGTGCAGGGCAGGGGGGAGATGGGGACAGAGCTGAGCAGGGCTGGCTGGGTGGGCAGGGGCAGAAGGGTCATTGGGAGGGGCGCCCTTGGTGACAGGTGGGAGGCAGGTGGCCACGGGTGGAGGGAAGGACAGTGCCCGCCTGAGGAGGCAGCGACCGAGGCATGTGGCGGCCAGGAGGGTCAGACAGATGCCAAGAACAGATGGCACGACACTGCTGGGTATCAGGGCTGGAGAGGGGCTGGCAGAGTGGTCAGCGCCTTATCCAGAGAGGGGGAGGCAGCCCAGCAAAGGGAAGGGACTTGCTCTAGGTCATTTCCCGGGGCAGACACAGGACAGACCCCTGGGGTCAGTGCAGCCGCACCTCCCAGGCCCGGTGGCTCAGGGACTGGCTCCCAGCTACCCCCCCCCGCCACCCCACCCCCCCGGGCCTGGTGGGAACAGCTCAGCCTCCCAGAACCGGGCTCCTCCGGGCAGGCGTGGCCCCCACAGGCCTTGCTGCCCCTCCCACCTTTGCCACCTGGTATCTGACCCCGGGGGCCCTGCCTGCCAGAGGATCACGGGCACCAAGGCTGCGAACACTCCAAATTGGGCAGAGATGGTTGATGGGGTGCAGGCCGGCCGGGGGTCACCGAGGGACAAGTTGGTCCTGGTCAGCCCCCACCCGCCTGCCTCAGGGTACCTGGCCACAGCCCCGCCCCCGCTGGCACGCTGAGGCCTCATGAGGAGCCCTCAGTGTCCCCAGAGACCTGCTAAGGGATGAGGAGGCGCTGGCCCTGTCCTGAGCCACAGTGGAGCAGAAGAACAAAGGGCACCCAGACCCTCGGGGTGGCAGCCCCCTCGTGGAGGCTGGGGAGCTGCGTCGGGCTGGGGGGGGAGGGGTGTCCTGCCACAAACTTGAAGCACCAAGCTTCAGGCCTGCTTTTCCTTGACTTCAGGCAGCTCTGGGTGATGGGGTCGCTTGGCTGCAGTCCTGACTCAGTTACAGCCTGTGGCGGCCAAAGCAAGTCCCTTGCCTGCTCTGGGCCTTGGCCTCAGCGTCCCCCTCTGGACAAGGACAGGCGGGGTGGGCGGGGTGAGACGTGGTGAGGCTGGAGGTCTGAGAGTTTGAGGGTCTAGGGTTCCCATGACCTCAGCCACAGCCAGCCCGGCCTCACATGGCCGGGGCCTCTTGGGCTTGGTGCCAAGGGACAGGCAGGGCATGAGGCAGGTGAGCTGCCCGGGGCCCAGCGTGCCCAGGTAGGAGGGAGGCGCGGGGGGCTCACTTTAGGCTTGGTGCTTCGCTGCAGGACATCCAGGAGCTGTCTGCGGAAGCCTTCCAGCTGCGAGAGGCCGATCCTGGGGAAGGAAGCAAGCTGGGCATCAGCCTGGCCTGGCCAGGGGCTGGGAGAGGTGCAGGGGGGCGGGGGCGGAGAGGCACGTGGCAGCCACAGAGACAAGACACCACCGCCATCAGGACTACAGGGTGGGGCGGGTGAGCAGGTGGGGGTCTGCAGGGCTGAGCCGGAGCAGGGGGGCGGGGGGAGGTCTGGCCAGTGAGGCCCGGACCTCTTGCTCTGCGGTATCTGGGACTCTGGGATTCCCCTGGGAGATGGGAATCCCCTCCCCTTGCCCCTGGAGGAACAGCTGACCAGGACAGTTAGAGAGGGAACGACTTGTGACTTGCAACTCGCCTGGGGACAAGATCCTTGCCCAGAACCACGGCCGTCACGAACTCCTTCGAGTACTCCATGGCATCCTCGCTGCGAAGGAAGGCGGGGCGCTGAGGCAGGAGTGGTGGGCGGTCCTGCTCCAGCACCCCTCGGGTTGGTGTTCGATTCCAGGCCCTCTGGGGAGCTCACGGGCACCTTTCCTGCCAGCGAGGCTCTGCCGGGCAGAGATCCTGGGGTCTGCCCGGCATTTGATAGAACACCCCCGCCTTGCACTTACCAGGCCGATCCCAGCCCCCCCCACGTGACCAGAAGCCAGACTGCCCAGCGCAGTTCCCGGCCCCCGCTGGCTCCAAAGTCTTTACCCCCCCACCCCCACCCAAGCCAACTCTGAGGCCCCAGGCAGCTCACCTCAGCAGGCCCCCTGGTGGGGAGTAGGCAAAGCACTTGAGGGTAGGGTACTGGGGGCGCAGAAGGAAGGAGAGGATGGCAGCCGTGCCTGCACCCAGGGAGTGGCCCACCACAATCAGGCCGTAGTGTTTGGTTCCTCGGCCCTGAAAACCAAGAGAAAGCTGACAGCCCTGCCCCGCTGACTGCCAGAACAGCTGAGACCAGGGAGGTGGCCGGGCCCTCCCGGAGTCCCAGGATCGTGTCTGTGCCACGTGGCTGCTGGGGGCAGAGAAGGGCCAAGCTAGACTCATGCAGAGCAACTCGTTGGGGAGACTCTTCTAACAAACTCCTACTCATCCTTCAAAACCCTGCTCAGAGTACCTCCTGAGAGATGCCCTCTGGATTTTCCAGGAGAAGCTTTTTCCCTCCTGGACACTTTGTCTACACTCGCGATTATACTCTAGTGTAAGAACGTATGTTCCATAAAGGTTATACTCTATTATAGTCATTTGTTCACCTGCCTGTTTCCATGTCCCAACCACTAGACTGGGCTCTCCGGAGGCCGAGGACTGCCTGGCTTAGGGAAGGGCATTTGTCAGCACCCTGGGAGGTCACCCCGACCAGAGGCAACACCCTTTCGATCGGCCCTGCAATGGTTTTCTGTCGCCAGATTCTGAAGGCCATGGCCCTAAGCATCTCTGTGCCTCCAGTGCCTGGCACGGAGCAGGTGCTTGCAACTGGGTGGTGTTGAGCAGGGGAGCCCAAGAAATGCTGGGGCAAAAGAGTAAGGGGGTCAGGGCGGGTGGGAGGGGCTGAGCAAGTGAGGAGGCGGCTGGGAGCCAGGCATCAAAGGAGAGTGTAGGAGCCTGGCTTGCTGTGGCTCCTGCCCCCAGGGCGGCCCCGCGGGGGAGGCAGAGGCTCCGCTGGCAGGGAAAATGACTTACCAGGTCTCGCCCAAAGGCCTGGGACAGGACCATCTCCTGCTCCAGCTTCTTCTTGATGTACTCAGCCGAGAGGACCATTCCCTGGGTGAGGAGGAACAGAGGTGGCTGTCATGGGTAGGGCGGCACCAGTAAAACCAGCGGCTGGAAGCTTGCTAATCCTGTCCCAACCATTTCCCCTTTGGCCCTCCTGACAACCTGGCTGTGGGGCCCGGCGGGCACTTTATCACATCAGTCCCAGCTCACAGATGACAAAACTGAGGCTCAGAAGAGTTGTGTGTCTACCAGAAACCGGTGTGATCACTTCCCAGCTGCCCTCTCAGGCTTTTCTGGGACAGGATCTGGGCCTGGCAGGACCTGGGTTGGGGGGGATTGGGACGGGCGGGCGGGGGGTCCTGGTGGGTGGGTCACAGTGAACTTCACCTCTCTGACCAATCTCTCCTGGAGGAGGGGCACAAGCAAGGAGGCCACCCCCCCCCCGCCCCCCCGCCCGGCAGCAAGGAGACAGGCCTGTGTGCCAGCAGGGGAGGAGAGAAGGCATGGGGCCCTCAGGGGCCCAGGAGGGGGCGTACCTTGTGTCCCAGCCAGGTGCCGTGGTGCCCCTCCACGGGGAGGCGCTCAGCGTCACCGGTCAGGTCTGTCAGCGCGTCCTTGTGGAGAGAGAGGACAGGTAATGGGTGTGGTGAGGAGGGCAGGCGCCCCTCGGGGGCTGTGAGGGTGTCCACAGGGGCGGGCTGGGGGCCACAGGCGGCACACCTTGGGGGAGAGGGTTCCTCGGATACTGATCACCACCTTCTTCTTGTCATGGTCCACTGCCACGTAGAAGGGGGTCTCATAGACCTAGGATGGGGGGTGCTCATGAGCCAAATGGCCCTGGGATGGGGCCAGACTCAGGGAATGAGTGGCCTAAGCGGTCTTCCTGGCTAAGGAATCGGCTCCCCTGGCGGATGGGCCCCGCAAGGCTGGCGGGGCTCCCCCGCACCCAGCACACCGCCCACCCTGCCCGCCAGGCATCCCTCCAGCTCAGACCTCAGGGTCTAGAGGGACCGCCGCCCCCTCCCCAGGCCCTTACTGCTTATTCCCTCCATCCCTTCCCCCAAAAGGCTGGCAGAGAAGCCCCAGTGCTGGGTGTGGGGCCGGACGCCGCCTCCCAGCGCCAGAGGGAGAGCAGGTCCCTCACCGCGTCGTGGCAGGAGGTGTACACAATGTCCACCGCGGTCATGTTCTCGTCCAGGAAGTGGCGCCGGATGGCAATGGCGTTGCAGCCACAGCAGTTGTCTTCCTCGATGGTGACCCCCGGGGCGAAGCGGGGTCGCGCGGGGCACAGGCAGCACCTGGCGAGGGTGGCAGGGGGCTCAGAGACCCGGGAGAGCCACTCTGTCTGCCGTCCTCTCTGGAACCTCCCTGGGAAGTGCCACGGTCCTCACCCCACTCGGCCTTCTGGCTGCATGGGAACCAGTGGGTCTCTCCCTCACCCTCAGACACTCTCTCCCTCACCCCTGGGCTGCTATTCCCTCACTGGCAGCCCCCTGGGGCTCGTCTTCCGCCAGAGCTACGATCTTCTCGCCTTCTCCTTCTTGCTCACCACACCTGCTCTAAACACCTGCACTAAACACCTCCTCCAAGCTACTGAACCGCCCGCCCTGCTCCCGGTCTCCAGATGCCCCCCTCCAACCATGCCAGGCCCCAGTCCCAGATGGTCCGCCCCCGTGTGCTCCCCGAACCCCCACACCCAGCTGCTCCCTGCCTAGTCCCAGACATGGAGCCGACCTCGCGTCCCACGGCCCGGCGGTCGGCACATCCGCTCGCCCTGCCTTCAGATTCGGAACGGACTCCAACCACCTTCTCTCGCGCCCACCCCTTCCACCATTATCTCAGTCTTGGGGTGTCGTGGAGGCCAAGAAGGTCTCCCCCTCTTCTACTCTCATCCTTGACATTCTCAACTGGCAGCCAGGGTGACCCTCCGAGACGCCAGTCAAGCCACGTCACTTCACTCAAAACCCTATAATGATGCCCTTCTTGTCCACTGTCAGAGCTGGAGTCCTCGCAAGGGTCAAGGGCGCTGCCCCATCCGGCCCTGGGTCTCTGCCTTGCGGCCTCCGACTTCCCTCTGCCTGCCTGCCCTCGCACGCACTGGCCACATCGCAGGACAGCCCATCTCGCTTCCTTCAGGCCGCTGTTCAAACGTATGGCACGGGGATGTCCACCCTGGACATGTCACCTAGCTTAGCCAGGCCCCTGCCAGGGTCTCCCAGCCTGATGGCACGGCCACTTTGTTTTTCGCCAAAGCAGCCGTCTGCTCCAACAGGCTCCGGGTCCCTGTCTGTGTGCTGTCTGTACCTCGCCACCGGGCGATGGCTCCAGAGGGCAGGCTTGGCTCTGCCTGGTTCACCACTGTGTCGCCTGCACCAGGCACGACAGGGTGGGCATCCCCCTCAATGAGGAGCTGAGCAGCAGAGCCGGGTGCCCCATTAGTGGTGCAGCTGCTCCTCAGGCCACCAGAGGGAGCCAGCACCCAGCAGACGAGCCCCGGAGCCCTGAGGGAGCACGAGCCTGTCTGCCTGACCGCTGGGATTTTATTAAGAATCCAGAACTTGCCTTCATGCAGGCGATGTCTAAGGGGCTATTACATACTTCCCTGGGAGGGGCGGCCTCGCCGAGCAAACTCAGGGCCCGGCCGGGTCCCCAGGTGGGCGACCGCCTCAATCCACACTGGGAGAGGCTCCCACCAACTTCAGGGCCAAGTAGGGGCCGGCCTGGGTCTGGGGGCCAGATTCCTGTTCTCAGGCAGCCGTCTGTCTCCTGTCTGCAATCCTCTCTGGCCCGCCCGTGACTCCCTGGCTTCTGAAATCCCTCATGCGCAGGTGGGACAGATGCCATTGAACAAAGGACGTCCCCACCCGGCCAGGGAGTGACGGAGCAGGGTCTGTCAGAGCCCAGGCCTCGGGACTCCTGGTCTCGTGCTCAATTCGAGAAGCTTCTCGGGCAGAGTCGGGGACTCCCAGGGATGCTGGGAGGGCCCGCTGTGGGAGGGGGTGTGGGCCGCGCGGTCCACTCTGTGAGTCACGGGGGTGATGTGGAGAACAAGGTCCTCAGGGCCACCCGGCTTTCTGAAGGGCACTGCAGGAGGGGTGTGGCCGCCCCAAGGGCAGGGGTGTCACAGACAGAAGCTGCTTCCCAGCCTGCCAGCCTTTCGGGACCAGGGAGCCAGGGGGCCGTCCCCCTTCCGTCTGGGCCGCACTGAGCGTGGACACGCCGAGGACGGGGAAGGGTGCCTCCTCCAGCTGTGCCCTTCCCGGGCCCACTTAGGAAGGCAGAGTCCACAGGGCCCCCTGAGGCGGGCTGCGGGCAGGGCTGGGGCAGACGCCTTGTCCACTCCCTGGGAAGAGGGTCAGAGTCTTTCACTAAAGGGCTTTCTTGACGCCCTTCCAGAGGCCTCCGTGGCCTGGGCCTCTAGCAGGAAAGTCCTTCCTTTCAGGGAGGCAGAGCACAGCACAGGAGCAGGACAAAGAAAGATGTGGGCAGAGGGGAGGGGCTGAGAGGCGGTGAGACCCACACGGCAAGGGGCACCCAGCAGTGCCAGAGGCTAGGCAACCATCCTCTCTAAACAGCCCCAGCTTCCCCATTACACAGATCAAGAAACGGAGGCTTGTACACGGAAGGAGGTGGTCTTGCCCAAGGCTGAGAGTGACACAATCTGGGTTCAAAGCAGGTGCTGGAATCTGGGTGATTCCAAAGCCCACGCCCTTCCCCTGGCTGGGGGCGAGGCACAGCTAGAAAGGTCGAGGCCCAGAGAGGCCCAGAGGAGGTGTGGGAGAGCGGAAAGGCGGGCTACAGACCACAGGGGAGGTGGGACGGGGAGGGCGGCAGGCACAGTCTGTTTAGGGAGAGTGTCCCCACAGGCTGGCCCTGCTGCGGGCCCTCGGCTCCTCCCTCGGCTCCTCTGCGCGCGGCGGCCAGCCAGAAGGGCAGGACTGGACGGGGTACTCACGAGCAGGACCGGGCCAGCTGGCAGAGGCCACAGGCAGGCTTCCGCATCAGGTACATGGGCCACCCGTAGGCAGCCAGAGCAAAGAGCATGTAGTAGCAGACCTCTTTGTAGCGGAGCATCTCTTGCTGGAAGAGAGGAGGCGGAGGCGGTCACCTCTTGCCCTCCCGGCCTGCCCCCTCCAGGCCCCAGGGCTCCCCTAGAAGGAGGAGGGGGCTGCGCGCCCACCCTGCCCCCACCTCGGAGGCGGGGCCGCTCCTGCAGATGATAATTGCATTTCCCTAATTATCTCCATGCAACCAGGGCACGAAGCCTCCTGGGACCTGTCCTGCCGCTCCGACCTCAGAATTAATGATTTGGGGACAGAAAAACACTCGCAGCGCCAGATCGATTTCCTTGCCCGTTTTTTTCCGAGAAGGAAAGAGGGGGGGAGGTGTGGGTTGCGATCAGGCCCCGGAAGGGAGTTTAAGCCCGAGAGGCCCTGGGCCCTCCAGCTGGGGGTGTCCAGGCCTTGGGCGGTGGGGTCGGCCCTGCAGGCACGGGGTGACCAGACAAGCCCATCAGCTGTCTCTCCCGGCCTCCGGCTTCTTTGTCTGCAAATCTAGGGAGACCCTGGTGTGACTCGTCAAGTCACAGGCTCCCCAGGGACGTCTGGAGCAGATTGGGATCTCTCCAGAGAAAAGTGCCAGTTTGAAACCTGGCGTCTGAGGCCAGCGGCTATTGTCTCCAGCCCGATGGGCTGGAAGGACGCGGGAGGCACAGGTGTCCCAGCAAAGCGGCTTCCAGTGTCCCGGGTGTGCCAGGCAGCGGAGGGCCCCTGCACTTACAGGGAATTAGTCACCTTGTAAAAGTTAAAGAGGGCAATTAGTCATCTTGCGAAGTGAACTAGGTAGCGCCTTAATAAGGGCCCAGAGGGGCAGAGCCATCCCCGGGCCAGCTCTGGGCCAGCTCTGTCCGCTCTGTCTGCTCTTTAGGATTGTAATTATCCCCACCCCCCGGCCACCCCCCAGCTCTGGCTGGAGGGCGGGGCAAGGGCTGCCTCTGCAGGGCTGGGCTGGGCACCTGCTAGGGGTGGGCCGTTTTCAGAGGGACTGCAAACACCTACTTTGGGCAGCGGGGACAGACGTAGGCTTTGTTAGGAGATTTAGATACAAGAGGGGAATCCTTTCTAGTTGGGTCCCGGCTGAGACCCTGCGGGGAACTGGACTCAGAATGGCTCCTTTTCTCCCCACCAGAGCTGTGTGCGGAAGGCGCGCACGCAGGGCCAGAGGACGCACTCAAGGTCGTAGCTAAGGTGGCGGTGGCGGCGCTAATGCGCCCTAAGTGGGTTTGCTCCTGAGACCGCCGGCTGCAGTTTTAGCCTGGGCGGCAAGCACAGCACCCTTGCGGTATGGGGGGGCCGGCGTGGGGCTGCCCTGGCCACAGCACCGGCCCCACCTTTACCTGCGAAACACCGGATTTCTAGTCAAGATGCCCCGGAAGAGGTTCTGCTGCTCAAAAAAGCTTGAAGCCGACGGGTCATGTCCTGCCGCCTTTTATGATCACAGCAGCTATGGCAATAATCAGAGCGGCTCGCCCCTGTGACGCCCTCCATAACCTCAAGAGGCCAGGACCAAGTGTTCTGAGCGTGGTCAAGCAGAGTCCAGGGTTTTGTCTGAACAACCAGCGTGGTGGGGGTGGGGGCGGGAGTTCTTGGGAGGAAGGGGTGCGTGAACCGAGGTGAGCGGTTTGCTGGAGAGCTGCAGGGGGACTCACGGAGGAGCCGGTGCAGCTCCCGCTGTCGGGGCAGGTGGCTCTGCTCAGGTCATCCCAGCAGAGGGAAAGGGCCCTGAGGCAGGCAGGGTGGGGCGGGGCAGGGGGTGCTTCTGACTCACCGAGTTCTTGAGGTCGAGATACTTGGTGTTTCTGGTCACCGGCATCCCAGACAGGAAGGCCAAGATGTCATTGTTCGCCTGCAAAACCAGTGTGCGAAGGCAGCTGGCTGCCCCAGGTCCCGCTGCATGGCTGACAAAGGGGGTCCAGGCCCCCCTGCTTCCCAAGGGCCTCAGCATCCCAAAGGAGCATGACGCAGCCAGTTCCCCAAACCCGAGGTCTCCTTGCATTTCTAGCTGCTCCCTTTCCACCGAAAGCATCCCCCTCCTCCCCCAGGGACCTGGTGCCCAGGCTGAAGGTAATGCGTTTTGTAGGGGATGCTGGGAGACCCTAGCTGGGACTGGGACATGCTGGTGGCAGTCGGATGGAGGCGAGTGCAGAGGGCTGAAGCACTGAGCACCCTTTGTTAGGGCCTCTGGACCGGGTAGCAGCCACAGGCGGCCCCGCAGAGGGAAGGGGAGCTGGCGTCGGAGGGTGACCTCGGGGAACCTGGGGAGCGGCACCAGGACAGCAGGGAGAGTCCTGGAGGTGGGCGGGCGCTCACCTCGTCCAGCACCGCATTGCGCTTGGCCCTTTGCCGCTGCCGGAGCAGCACCAGGCCCGCGATGATGTCAGACGGCACGATGTCGAGGTCTCGGAAAAACTCGGCAAAGAGGTAGGCGATTTCTGAGTAGGCATCCTGTGAGGTCCAGGGAGGGAGGGAGGCGGGGGCAGGGGAGCAGGAGAGAGGGCGAGAGACAGGGCGTGAATCCCCAGGGCCGGGGCTCTGCTCTGGGCCCGGTGCAAGTTTGCGCCGGCACGTGCACGGCGCCAGCCGGGGCTCAACCCGCGTGGCCCTCTGCAGCTGTGACCCCAAGGGCCCTCGCCTGGGCTCTGGGTCCCACAGACCTGGCCAGAGCTGTCTGGGACAGCCACCGAACCTCGTCCGTGCTCCACCTCCCGGCCCTCGCCTGTCCTCAGAGCTCCTACGGCACTCACCGTCACCGCCTACCACGCACAGATGCCAACGTGAGCCATTTCCTGTTCTTTCCCCAGTCACTAGGAACCAAGGCCTGCTCGGCCCGGCTTGCTTCTCCTCCGCCTTTCTCTCTAGCAGAGAAGCCAAAACTGAGCTCCCGGCTGCTGCCTCTCCACACTGAGTCTCTTCCCACCTCCCACTGGCTGTGACCCTGAAAGGCCTCCTAAGGGCTGAGACTCTGGGGTGTCAGGCCTTCTCCCCCAGCTGCACCCAGCTGCAGCCTCAGGGGTGATGCTGGGCCAATGCCCCCGCCCCTGGGGTTCCCCGCAAGCCTGGACCTCCAGCCAGGTCCTCAGGAGTCTGCCAGTTCCTCCCTGACCTCTTAGGGGAGGCTGTGATGGGAACGAACTCGTGGCGAGTGGTTCTCTCTCATAGGCTTTCTTTCACCCCTGAGTGTCTGGCTCTTGTAAGAGAAGAAAAATCAGGGGTCGCAAACTCAGAGGCCCAATGAGGCCAAACAGAGCCTTGCCCCCTTCTCGGATCTGGCTGACCGCGCCACGAGCGGCCCCGCGCTGCCAGACCTAGAGACGCAAATCCGTCCCCAGACACCCTGATTTTCACTAAATTCAAATTTTCCACGACTCTGCAGAGTGATCAAGATGTGCTCTGGACGGGACCTGCTCCCGGGGCCGCCATGCGATGGGACGCAGATCCTGGGCTACTCCTCCCCAGAATATTCTGCCTTTTTGCCAGGCTCCCAGCTCTGCCCAGGAGGGGTGGGTGCGTACCCCTAGACCCCGCCCAGAGAGGCCCGTGGGGGTGATCCTCAGCCCCCAGGGAACCTCTAGGGATGGGGGGGTGGGCTTTCTTATACGTGATTACTCACTCTACAGCTCACCAGGGGTTGATGGAGGGAAGGAGCCACTGGGGCCTCCGGTGGTTCCCACAGAGTGGGGGCCACCTGCTGTCTGGCTCAGCGGGGAGTGGGGCCCGGACCTCACTGGCTCTGCCACTAACTAGCTGTGGGACGCTGAGCCAGTCACACCACCTCTCTGGGCCTTAGCTGCCTGATCTGTACAATGAGGAGGGGGCCCTGCCAGCACATGAGGGGGCAGGGGCTCAGCCTCGAAGATCCTAAGGGTCCCACCTCCCCACCAGGGGGCGCCCTCAGCTGCCCCGGCCTTCCTTCTTCAGTGCCCAGCACAGACTGGCCCGGCCCTGCGGCTGGCTGCCCCTCGGAGCACAGGCTGACTGTGCGCGTCTGGGCTCAGCACCTGACAGTTCCGAAGCATCTTCCAGAGTCACTGTAGCTGGTGGCATGTGCCATTCTTTGCTTTCAGGCCACCCTGAGTTTTCCACATGTTCTCCCTAAACTAGGCTGTAAGTTCCAAGGGGCCGGGGGTGGATGGAAGGTCTTGGAACCTTTCTGTCCCCTTGACAAAGCAAGGCACTGGCTGTTTCACCTGCTGGAGGGAGTCGGTCAGTGTAAACAGATCCTCGTGTGATCAGGCTGTCACCTCGCTCTTGCTTAAAACCCGGCGACCAGCCCCGCCCCGCCCGCCTCTGCCAGGGAGTGAGGGCTCCTGAGGGCCGGACAGTAGGATGTGAGCCCGAGGGGAGAGGCTTCCCAGTACTTACTGACTGGGAGTCCTTCGTCCGAGTGCAGCAGAGGAACACTTTGAGCCGGCGCGACCAGCTGGTGGCCTGACCCTCCTCTAAGCGGTGCCTGCAAAGGGGGAGAGTCGGTATGTGTGAGGTCAGGGGGCGGGGCCGGAAGAGCCTCGGCCCAGATGGGCTGGAAACAGAGCAGCCTGTTCCCAGGATCACAGCAAAGGGCCCCCCTGCAGGAGGTCTGGGAGAGAACAGGCCTGGGCCTGGCCAAAGCCGGTGGCCCGTGACCTGGCCTTCGGCCAGCCTGGTGCCCCCTGGGGGGAGGACCCCTGCTGGCCGAAGAGGGCACACCGCTGGCCATGCTCCCAGCTTTGGGCAGACTGAACACCTGCGTGCCCTGGGGGCGTCAGAAGTGGGAGCCCAAACTGGGGGCTGCTCTGTAGCTCAGGTATCCAACTGCTCAAACTACGAGCCCTGGGAGACGGCGGCAGGGGGCTGGGCCTCTCAGCCAACTCACTGTGAAGCCTGGAGCAGACCAGTTGGACGGACTCACTTCCCCCTGGAAAAGGATCTCAGATACCCAACACTCTCTGTCTTGGGGGGAAGTTTAAGGGCCAAATGAGGTTCTGCATTTCTCAACTCCTCGGGTCTGTTACACAAGAGGGGGGCGAGGGCCCCCACCTTTCACCCCCATGGCTGGTGCCTGTCTATTCCCGCCCCCTCCCCACCCCCGTGCCAGTGTGTCTAGCTGCTCTGATGGGGAGTCGGGGATCTATACCCAAAGGCAGAGCAACTGGCCGATTCTCCACAGAGCCCCTTCCAATGCTGGGTGCCCAGAAATCAGTGCATTTTGCACGTAAAGAGATCCAATGTTAAATATGTCTGTTTCCAGGCTGAGCGAGAAGGGGCTGGGTTGCTTTTGTGACATGTGCCCTCCCTGCCCCCTCCAGCCCCTTCAGATCCTGACACTTGGTAGTTAGTAGGGGAAGGCGCGGGTGGCCCTGAATGGCTACAAGGCACTTAGTATCCATCAGGAGTGACAGGCCGGCCCTCCTTCCTGAGTCTGTTGGCTGCTCTCTGCAGCCCTGGTCCCATAAGGCAATGGGCCACAGGACAGGGAAGGCCGCAGGGCTTTCTAGGGCTAGAGGGGGGCGTTAGGAGAGGGAACAACGGCTATAATTGCTGCTTCTGGGATCTACCGGCTCTAAGGGACCTGGGCAGCCTTACATCATAAACCAACGTCCCACCTGCCAGGGGCTTGATGAAGGGCCAGCAGGCTGGCCAACTGGGTTCCTAGAGCATCACATTCTTTAACTCTTTCTAGTCTAATGGCCTTTTAAAGAGTATTTCCTGCTGGGCCTCTGGCACTGGAAGAGCTGACCATGCACCTTACTGCACTACCCCTTGTGTCCACCAGGAGGCAGACGGAGCCAGTGACGGGTTTGGCCTAATGTATCAGGCTACTTACTGGAGTCGGACACGGGCAGAGAGATGCTGAACCTGCCACAGAAAGTTCACGGACCCAGCACTCCTCTGCCCTGGGGCTCACTAAAGTGAAGGGAGGGAAGACACCCCTCCAAGGTCAAGGCGCCCAGGGAACAGTGCTGGGAATAATCCATCTCCCAACCCCTATGAGATTTCCCTGGAAGGAGAGAGGGCCCAGGGCTTAAACAGCTCCTAACTTCCAATGGCTAAAATAACATGTCAGTGTGGCATGGTGGGGCTTGTGTGTGCCCCCCCACACCTGGGAGTGGGGGAAGGGCAGGCGGGCTTGAAAATGTCCTTGTTAGGGGCGCCTGGGTGGCTTAGTCGGTTAAGCGTCTGACTTTTGCTTAGGTCATGATCTCGCGGTTCGTGAGTTCGAGCCCCACGCCGGGCTCTGTGCTGACTGGCAGCTCAGAGCCTGGAGCCTATTTCAGAGTCTGTATCTCCCTCTCTCTCTGACCCTCCCCTGCTCACACTGTCTCTCTCTCTCTCCTAGAAATAAAAATATTTAAAAAAAAAAAAAAAAGAAAGAAAATGTCCTTGTTAGAAAAACTGCTGGCTTTCAGAGCTGAGGGAGGGTCAGCGGAGACCGGCCTGAGAGAGAGGTGGTCACATTAACCAGGCCACAGCCTCAGCTGCCCTCTCGACCCCCGCCGAGACCTGGAGAAGGCGCAACAGGTCAGAGTCCTGAGCTGCGCGGCCTCGTATTCCCCATGGGGCCAGAAACCACAGGAAAACTTTCTAATTAAAACTCCAGCCCCCAACTGCAAAGGTGTTGCCTTCCCGGTGCCCCAAAGGCAGCTACTCAGAATCAATGAGGGGAGATTTCTTTTTTTTCCAGGGCCCCAGGAGCCCAGAAACCAGGTCGGGTGGGGGCGCGGGCTCCGAGTGCGAAAATGGGACGGGGTGGTGGCGGCCCGCTGCGCCGCGAGGGAAAACGGGCTCCAGGGCCTTGGCTCCTGGACCTGCTATTTGGGGCTGGGAGGTGGCCAGCCCAGGCGCGGGTGTGGCTCTGGCTCTGACTGCTGAGCAGAGCTGACGTGGAGGGCCTGAGGGGAGCCGAGAGCAGAGGCATGGGGGGGGAGGGGTCGAGGAGAATTCCGGGGGGACCTGCTGCCCAGGCTGAGGGCTCCTGGTCCCCCTGCCCTGGAGATGGAGCACCACATCCATTCTCATCAGCACGACCTGTGGCAAGGGACCTGCCCTCTCTGGGACTCAGACTTCTCATCGATAGAATGGGTCTCCTAACAGCACCAAGGTCAGTAAACAATCCAGGGGACTGATGGTGGGGAAGGGCTCCTCACAGGGCCTAGGGTCATAGTAGAGTCACTGTGCGGCACCCAGGAAGCCCTCCTCCCCTCTCTTTTTCTTTCAGGAGACAGGAATTACTATGACACCAGATTCCCTCCCTCATTTTCTCTGACGCGGGACAGCTTTCCTCTCTCTTTGAAATGCTGTGCAAAACTTACCTCCTCCAGGAAGCCTTCCCTGATTAATCTTCTCCAGCTCCCTTAATCCCAGGGGCAGCCAGGCCAAGTGGTTAAGAGCAAAGGCCATAAAGCCAGATCCCCTGGGCTCAAGCCTAGTTCCATCCCATCCTGGCTGTGTCACTCAGGCAAGTCACGGGACTTCTCTGTGTCCTAGCTCTGTCTGCCTGATGGGGGTGATGCTAATGGCCCCCAACGGAGTGGCCGTCACTCAGCACACGTGATGCTTGGCTTGGGTCATGCATGCTTCCTGCTATGATGACCGCTGTGGTTAAGAGCACTGAAGATGGGGCCGCCTGGGCGGCTCAGTCGTTCAATGTCTGGCTCTCGGTTTTGGCTCAGGTCATGAAATCACAGCTGGGGAGCTCCAGCCCTGCCTCGGGCTCTTGCCCCGACCGTATGGGGCCTGCTTGTGCCTCTCTCTCTCCCTCTCTCTGCCCCTCCCCTGCATGCATGCACATTCTTGTGCTCTCTCTCTCAAAATAAATTTAAAAGGAAACAAGAAAAAAGAAAAAGCACTGAAGGTGACGGCAGTGGTAACAAGGGCACCATTTACTGAGCCCGCACCAACTGTGTGAGCGCGGCGTAAACCCTTTCCCACTTATTTAAATCTCACGGCAGCTGTCAGAGGCAGGAGCTGTCATTAGTCCTGTTTTACAGACCGAGAGACCAAGGCAGGGAGAGGCTAAGACTTCGGCCAATGCCCGTGGCTCACACGGGCCGAGCTGAGGTTGGGGCGGCCCGGGGCCAGCTGTGCCCACCTGGCCTCACACCTGCTAGGGGACCACCCACCCGCCCAGCCGACTGACCGGAGGTTATAGGTCCGGAGGTTGCGCTGCCGCCTCTTGGTGGCTCTGAGCTTGACAAAGGTGCGGCCCGTGGGGTCGAAGACACAGAGGACGGTGATGCAGACGCTGAGGATGACCACCCAATTGCAGACGACCATCCCTACGGGCAGCAGAGGGAAACGAGAAGGGGAGACGCGGGGTGACCTCCCTGGCTGCCAGCTCTGGAGAAAGGGCCACCGGAGCCTCCTCTTCCCTAAGCTGGCCCTGTCTTTCCGCGCACCCTCTCCCCCCCCGCCCCCCACCCCGGGGCTGGTGCTCTCGTACCGAGGGTGACATTCTTGGCAGTGAGGTCATTGCAGGAGGTGTAGTACTGAGTGAGCCAGACGATGCCCACAATGGCATAGATGAACTCGATCACCAGGATGGCTGCAAGGAGAGAGCAGGGCCCCGGCTGAAGGATGGCCGCGGGGCGCCCGCCAGGGACGGCCCGGAGCCTCCAGCCTGCACTGCGGCAGAGGGGCCCCGCGGGGCACAGCGGCCCCGCCACCGTTGTGCCCACCACCTGTTCCAGCTTAAATGCCCTCGGGCCCCCGAGGCTCCCCCTGAGGAAGGCGGACGGCGAAGCGGCATTTCTCTGCTCTCTTAGGATTTGAGAATTGTGCCCGTGAACTCTGGTATCAGGTGTATCTTAGGCAAGTTACCTAATTCCCTGGGCCTCCGTATCCTCATCTGTAAAATGGGGTGACAACGTCTGCGTTACAGGACTGCGAAGAATTAGACGAGAGAGGGGTCACTCCCGGAGACTGCTATTTCCCAGGAGGAGGCTCCAGCTCTTGGGGCGGGAGGAAGGAGGAGCCCCAGTGGGCAGCTGGGGCGGGGAGGAGGGGGGAGGCAGGGCGAGGCAGCATTAGAGACCCCGGCTCCATAGGCAGCACCTGCCGCAGCTCAGAGACCGGGCTTTGGAGACAGACAAGCTGGGTTCAGACCCCAGCTCAGACACACACACACACTAGCTGTGTGGCCTTGGCGGAGCTAATTAACCTCCCCGGGGCGGGGGGGGGGGAGCCCAGATTCCTCATCTGTACAAGGAGACCAATAATGGCTCCTCCCTTGGTCAACAAGAGCTTAGCACAGTTCATAGGAGCCCCAGAAAGTGTTCACTAGGAAAGACCGGGAAAAGCAGCTGGAGCCGAAGCCCAGAAAGAGAACACAGGCCATCCCACCCCCCGGGGAGCAAATCTGAGCCCCCCAGAGGCTTGCGGGGAAGGGGGGGGAAGGGTAACCCTGTCTGGAGGATTTCAAAGCAGATAGAGAGACGCACTTGGCCTAGAAGAGGGGCCAACGAACTCTCCCTGTAAGAGCCGGAGTAAGTATTTTAGACTCTTGTATCCTTGGTCATGACTACTCAGCTGGCTAGAGTCACGCAAAAGCAGCCGTGGGGGGAACGAACGAGCGTGGCTGGGCTCCAGTCCAACTATTTGCAATAATAGACGGCGGGCTGGACGTGGCCCTCAGGCCCGTTGCCACCGGACCCTGGTGCTGGCCCGGGTCCTGGCCTGACGCTCGTGCGCCCAACAGATGTGGGCTGGACGACTGAGGGGGCCCAACGGGAGGGTGCAGGTGGGGACGACCCTTACCCAGGCGCACGTAGAGCACGTACTGCATGGACTCGCGGGGCTCTGTGTAGAGGATGCCCCCGCGCATGCTCAGCCAGATGATGGCCATCTCGGCGATCATGCAGCTCAGCAGGATGCCCAGGTAGCCGCGGCCGTGGTCCACCAGGTTCAGCGAGCAGGCCTCGTGTGGGTTGTAGACCAGGCCGAAGAGCACCACGGACAGGATCACAAACCTGGGGGAGCGCGCACGTGAGGGGTCAGGATCACACACCTGGGGGAGCGCGCACGCGAGGGGTCAGGATCACAGACCCGGGGGAGCGCGCACGCAAGGGGTCAGGATCACAGACCCGGGGGAGCTCTCACGCTAGGGGGCAGGATCACAGACCCGGGGGAGCTCGCACGCTAGGGGTCAGGATCACAGACCCGGGGGAGCGCTCACGCGAGGGGGCAGGATCACAGACCCGGGGGAGCCCGCACGCGAGGGGGCAGGATCACAGACCCGGGGGAGCCCGCACGCGAGGGGGCAGGATCACAGACCCGGGGGAGCGCGCGCATGAGGGGCCCGCGCAGGTGGGCCCCTCCCGCGGTCCCTGGCCAGTCCTGACTCGGTGGGCGGAGGGCTCCAGGCTAGGGACCACCTCCCTCCTGCTGTCTAGTGCCTCCGGGGACATGGGCAGGGAAGCATGGGGGGGGCAGCAGCAGCCCTACCCGGTCACAGGGCCAGGTCCAGTGGGGGCCACGCAGGGTCTCTGGGCACCACGCGGGAATGTCCCTGAGTGGTGGGCGTCGCAGACACCCACTCCTGGGAGCTGGGGGCAGGACGGATGGCCGGCCTGTGGCACAGCCCCACGACTCACCAGGTGGTGTGCAGGAGGAAGAGGAAGATGGCCGGCAGGACGAGGTCATCACTGCCCACAGACCAGCGCCGCCGGAACACCACGATCCCGGGCATGGCTGGCGGCTCTGCAGAGGCTCAGCGGGCCTGGTGCTCACCTCCTGCAAGACAGCAGAAGGCCCCGTGGCTGCCCCGGCTGCCGTGGCACACTCCTGGCCAGGTGTGGCCAGCACACAAGCAGCTCTCCCGGGCGTGGGCACGATAGCCCAGGGGCTCCCAGGCTGTTGGAAATGCGGATCTGTCAGGGCAGGACCCACCTCCGATCCTCGCCACACCCCCAGAGCCGGTATAAAGGACCTCAGCAGCGATACACTGGCTTTGGCCTTACCCCTGAGGACTCTCCTGCCCCCAAGATTGGCGCCGGCCCTTTAGGATCGGCTCTCCCTGGGGCAACAGTAACAGCTCAGTTCCGTTAACGACCTGGGCTCACCCCCTGCCTCTCCCTCCATGGGACCACATCCCACCCCCAGCTCCCCTGCTGCCTTTTTTTCCAGGGGACCAGGCCAGTGCCTGCAGTCCTTGGGGTGGGATGGGGGCTTCCCAGCCCCAAACAAACAAGTAGAAGGCTGAAGACCTGGGAGGAGGTGGGAGTAAAGGCCGAGCATGAAGGCGGGAGGGTGCCCAGCACACAGTAGGTGCTCAGCAAGGATCTGTTGACTGAGCTCTTGAGTTTCTGGCTTTGCTGGACCCCTGGGAGTGTGCTCTATGACTACTCGATTTTACACTTGTCGGACAGAATGCCCAACCTCAGCCATGCCCCTTGGCAGGAAGGGGCACGGTCGAGATGCGGGGTCGGGAGCAGGACGGGGGGGCCATCCAGCCCCTGGAGCCGCAGGGTAGTGAGCGGGCCCTGTGGGGTACCCACCCCTCCCACGCCCACCCCGAGCCACACAGCCTTTGCTGCCCAGTTCAAAACTCTCCGAAGCTGCTGAGTTCAAATTCGCCACAGGCAAGCTCGGGGAGGGGTGTCCAGGAATCCAGGGACCCCACGCCCTAGAGCCCCAGAAACCAGGGTAGCGCTGTGGCCAGGAGGCTCCCCGCAGGGGGCTTGTTTGGGGAGATACGGGTGTGGGGCTCCAGGGCAGCCCTGTGCTGAACTGTGCAGAGGACTCCCTGCTGTGTGGGGTGGGCGCCCCCGCTGGTGGGCAGCTGCCCCCAGGCCCAGAGGCTTACACGGCACCTGGTCCAGAGGCGGGCGGCAAGTCCTCCTCTCCCCGGTGACGGCTCCGGGGAAAGCGAGTGTCCTCAGAGACCAGCATCACTGGGGAAGCAGGTGGCCAAGTATCCCCTGGCCGGTGGGCACGGCCCTCAGGCTGGCTGAGGGGACATGGGGCTGGGGGGCCAGCCGGCATGTCCGAGCCAGCCTGCCTCTCTCCCTCTGGTGCAGCCACTCGATCCGGCCGCGGCCAGGCTGTTCCCTGCGAGCTGGCGGCCTGGCGGGCGGGCGGGCGGGCTAGCCTGTCGGGGTCGTGCCTACTCCTCCCCCCTCAGGAAGTGACATCATCCCACTCTCTCCAAGGAGGAGTCAGAGCACGGATTCTGGGAAGTGGGGAGAAGGATGAAGAGCCCGGGAGCCGCATGGTGGGGTGGGGGGCGCCGCAGGTGGGGGGGCCGGGGCTCCAGCGGGTCTGTCCCGGGAGGGACTGGGGCCAGCCAGCGCTGCCAACAGCTGGTGTTTCAGCCGCCGCCGCCGCCGGGTCTCCCCAGCCCCTCGGGGTCTCCCCAGCCCTTCCCCGTCTCCAGGTGGCTCAGGGGGCCAGCGCAGTCCCCGCAGGTGCTGCAGCTCCTGTCCCCTCTAAACGCTAATCCACCCAGACCCCTGCAGAGGTGGGAGGAAGGGGTGTGCCATCCCAGGGGGGCTGGAGGGGGGCCGTGTCCTGCCTCTGCCAGCCCCCTAGAACATCATGGTCTCCGGGGCACCTCCAGGGGCACCCTCCTGTCATCCCCACCATTTGCCTCGTGTCATCCCCACTCCTTCGCCTCACACCTGCAAACTGGCACACAACCCGCGTGTACGCCCTGCCCTCCCTGCACTCCAGCGGGAGACGGGGAGAGCCTGGCAGCTGGCCCTGCAGAGGGACCCGAAGCCTGTCAGATCTGTGGAGACACTGGAGTGATGCAGACAGTGCCAGCCTCTGCCCAGGCTCAGGGGCCGACAGCCGTGGCGGCACCCAGGCCCATGTGGCGGGGCTCCTTTGGGCTGGCCCCCCGGGGTGCCCTGCTCTTCCAGCCTGTCCCTGGGACCTGCCCACCACCGCGGAGTCCTGGGCTGGGCACCCCGGCTGCCTGGCTTCAAACCTGGGCCCCAACACCCACTACCTGTGTGACTTACTAGCTGTGCCTCAGTTTCCTTATCTGTAAAGTGTTGCTCGACCCCACCTGCTAAAGTTCAGGTGAGGACCACAGGAGAGAATGTCTCCGGAGGCCCCCAAGGTGCCAGAGAATGGCAGCGAGGGGCTAGGTGAGCGGGTGAGGCGGAGGAAGAGTGTGTGAGCCTCCCGTGGAACGGCCACCCCTCCCCCGCCCAGGCTAGTGGATACTCTGGCTGGTCACCGACAGGTCACGGTGTGGGATGGGGGTCACAGGGCCTGTGCCGCTGGGGGAGGCTGGGCTCCATGTGGATTCATCCATCTCAGGGCTGCTATTTTTAAGGGCCTGAAAGGCGCCCTTTCTCTGAGACCCCGGCCCTTCACAATGGGGGCCTGTACCCTGCTGGGATGTGATTTCATCTGCAGGAAATGTCTGGGGTGGGGGGAGGGCAGAGGCTACTTCCTGGTCTGGGGCTGCCACAAAGCACCTCCTCTCACTCTCCTCCCTTGGGGCACAGGGTCGATGCCCTCCAACAGTTAAATTTGTGGGGCTCACAGCACCCCCTCCTCACCCTGGACCAGTGGCACCTCTGGGGCAGGAGTGGTGCCCCTCCCCCGGAGGAGAGCAGAGACACTTTTGGGGACTCCCTACAGCCCCTGGCTAGGCCCCTAGCTCTGGCGGGTCTGAATGGGGTGCCAAGACCCCCCTCACATGGACGGATTGGCTTGAGTCCCTTTCTTCCCCCATCCACAATGCCCCATTTCCCTGCTCGTAATTCAGGCTCCCAAATATTAATCATCTGGGTGCCTCTTTCTGAAAATACAATACTCTTTTAAAAATGCACACGCTATCTACTACTTTTAAAACCTTCCAGGGCTCCCGTGCCTGCAGGATAAAGTCCAAGCCCCTCAGACCGTGGTAAGGGTTTTAGTCTCCGGCTGGCAGGCTGTGCAGCCTTGTGCGGGTGCCTTGCCCTCTCTGAGTCCTGGACCAGGAAAATACTCTCCAGCTCCTGGGGATCCAGGGCAGAGGCAGATACAAGTCCAGAGCCTGCCTCCAGCCAGTCAGCTCTTTCTGGCTGGGCTGGGGCAGGGGGGGGACTCCATCCCCTCCTCACACTGCGCCACTTTTCTTTCCCAGCACCCCCCAAAACTTGCATCTCCATAAAAGCACCTGGCTGGAAGAGTCCATGCCCTGCTTGTTCCAGTTGCTCTGCGGCAAAACCCTACTCACCTCTCCAAGCTCCCCCAAAGTCACGGCCTCTTTGAAACCCTCTCTTGACAGGTATACTGGGCTGCTCCCTTAGGGGACCCCCAGACCTCGCATCCGTGTGGCCCTGGACACAGTGTCTGATGGTGGACCTGGCCATGCCTTGCTGCCTATCCCTGCTCCACTGGGAGCCCCTGAGGGCCTGAGTCCTGTGGCGCTGTCCACCTTGACACGCGCTCAGAGCCCCTGGGGTGTGGGCACGGCTGCCCTGGAACAGCCCCTCCCCTCCTGAGCAGCTGCAGTGCCCTGACCCACGGGTGCCCCTGCCTCCCCGCCCCGAGCTGCTGCAACAGCTGTTCTCCAGCCACAGCGCCAGAGGCAGAGCTCCTTTCCCTCTTGGCTCACATCCTTGGCGTTTTGGGAAATGTCCCACCCCAGTGCCTCCCCTGACCACCAAGGGAGAACCATCTTCCCCTCCTCTGGCTCTCCTGACCAGTCCAGGGCTTTAGTTTTTTTGTCTGCAAAGCCGGGAACCCCCACCCCCGGTCAGAGGGCTGTAGCAGGAACGGGCCAGGAAGGTGTCACGGGGGCGTGCACGGGCCCCGGCAGACCTGAAGCATCCATTCATGGGGCTGTCCTAACAGCTCCTGGGGGGTTTTCTGGGGACTTCCTGGCAGGATGATCTGTGACTGGGTGCTGGGGTCCAGGCGGGTGCTGCCAATGCCCATGGCTGGTGGGAAGGGGCTGTACTGAACACGTACAAGCCTGGACAGGCTAACCTGCCCTCACTGTGAGTCTTGGGAGGTGGCTGGCTAAAGCACCCCAGGCTGGGCCTCATCCTCTGATCCTGAGGTGCCCTTGGGCTTGGCTCCAGGAATGGGTTTCGGAGAGAAGAGCCCTCCCACGGTGGGTCCTCGCCAGCATGGTGCCCAGACTTCCCAGGTGAGGAAGGAGGGCATGGCTGTTGTGACTACCCTCCTGACTGCCCAGGGCCGGTGGGGAACAGGAGTGGGGCCAGGTCACCAGAGCCAGGCTGAGCCCGGTGCCCACGGGAGACAGGACGACATGTTGTGGGGGGCCTGTCTAGGGCCATCCCTGGCTTCCAGGCTAGCCCATGAGATCTGCCTGGCCAGAGCTGGGAGGAAGGGATAACCACAATAGCACCCAGTCAACAGGCTCTAGAAACCGATCATGCCTGAGAGCTGGCTCTGCACTTACCGGCTGCGTGCCCTTGGGCGAGTTACTTAACCTCTCCGTGCCTTAGTCTGTCATTCCTAAAATGGGCTGAGAACAGTACCTACCTGGGAACTGTCACAGGGTTAAGTGAGCCATACGCTCAAGACAGCAGCTTTCACCCAGTTAGTGGCCAGCAAATCCTCCTCTGCCAGAGCTATTCCCCAAGGAGGAACTGAGGCTCCGAGACTCTGCAGGTGGGAGACACAGGTCACACCTGCTGCCACCCAAGGCCCACAACTAATGCAGGAATGTCAGTTAGAAGGGGCTCAGAAACAGTCCCATCAGCCCCTCTGATGGGTGAG